TTTCCCTTGAGAGGTGGAGGAACATCACAGACTAGGCAGGAAGCCTTCTTCTGTAGTGTCTTTCCAGAGCCTGGTCTTTGGCCTGAACCTTTCTCATTTTAAATCTTGCAGGGTTTTTAGGTTCTTTGCAGTCTGTGGATTTGCAATTCAATTTCTCTCCCATTTTGGCAATTGCTTTATGCCCCAAACCCATTTGGCTTTTCACCTTCCTTCAATTGTCTCGGTTCTTTCAAAACACTATGTGTCTTTAGCTATAACTTGCTTTTTTGCATGCTTTAACTCATTTCAGCTTCCAGACATCTTTAAACTGATTGTCTGGTGGGTTTAGTCTGCAGTTGTGAAGGGCATTTTGTGGTTTGTGCCTACCACATCTATTGGTATCAAAACTATCAGTAGCTTCTCCATCCCCACTTGTTCTGCTCTCCATGTTTGAATGATCTTACATTGTGTAGAGATGTCTTCTGTATTTGGAAGAAGTGTTTCTTCACTGTTCTGTGTGTTGGTAGGTAGATGTTGGCAAAACCAGACTCTTTTTCAGAGAAGCTGAAGGGCTTGGCTGCTCTGGCAGTTCCCAGAATACGCTTTGCAAAGAACGCTGCTCACTCGCTCTTGCAAACATGAGGTTCTCTCAGTGGCATTTGGATGTTTTTGGTTATGGCAGGTGTTCTCTCAGGTCATGAGGATTTCTTCTTTAGCTCTACTTTATGCCAGAACCTGTTCCTAGAGTCACCTACTCCTGGGGTCTGTGAAGGAGGAAGGGTAACCACTTCCTCTCTGTAACTGATTTTTGTCAGAAGGGTTCTTTTGCACACCCATAGTTCTTTATCTGGAGCAAGATTGACTTCATCCCATTTCTCTGAGAAAAGCTAGTGGCAGTGTGAGGAGGGCATGTCTTGGAGAGAGTGAGCAGCACTTGACACATCTCTGTGTGTGAGAAAATTTCCCTTCTGTGTGTCTCTGGACTGTGGATCTGTGTCGTCTTGTAGAGAAAGTTTGTTTCCCAGTTCTCACTGGTAAGTAAAGGCTTTTAAATATTTTTTGCTAAATATTTGCTGCTTTTTAGTTCTTAAGCAAAAGCTGGGTTACATGTTTCTGAGTGTAACACCCTTGTGCTTAAATACTGAACATGTTTATTTACTAGTCTCTTGTTTTGCAAAGCAATGCAAGCAGTTTGTTTCAAATAGCTTGTTGTGTAAGACGTTATCATCAGGAACTGAAGTTTTTCACAAGAGAAATGTATTGATTAGTTCCACTAACACACCTTTTCTATGTGTATTGTGAAGTGGGAGAGGAGTGGGGACCTACTGTTAAAACATTTTGGTTTTCTCAACTATTATAGTAGGAGTATCTACTAACACCTGTATATGATGCAAAACAAACGTGAATGCTAATTTCATCCCAAATAATTTGGGTTTATGTTTCATACTCAACTACTTCAGCAAGTGTGCTAAACAGTAAGCTTTATTAAATCCCAAGTATACCACAAAGCATTTGTTTTATGGCCAGGACCTCTGGGAAGTGAGCACTCAGTGATAAGGTGCTTCATAGGACAGGGACACCTTCAGGCTTCCACCCCTGCGGGGGAGTTGCCAGCATTTTTGAGTGTTGCATTGTGCAGTTCTATGATGCTTAAACCCAAACAACTGCAGGAGGCAAGCCTAATGACACTGGCAGCATTACATTTTCTTACATACATCACTTCCTGTCATTATTCCCTTTCTCATTAACACCCTTTCTTCTTCCTGATTCTTCTTCTTTGGGTTCTGTGCACATTTCAGTTCTTTTGTTGGTCCCTTTCTTCATCTAAAGTTGATTTTTATAGTCAGGATCTCTGCTTTTGTTACATTTTTTGTTCCTCTCTGAATCCTCATTAGTGTTCTTCCAGAGTTTCTCTGTCCTGGCCCATCCTTTTCTCATTGTTTTCTTTATCTTTCATTTAGTGGTTTATGTATCTGACTCCTCTCTGTGGTTTAAATTACACCCTGTTGTGAGGGTGGAAATGCCACAGTGGGTATTTCAAGCACGGTGGCTCCATGCTGAAGCATCATCAGCTGTCAAACATTTAAGAAGCATCATTCACAGCTGCTGCACAAGCTTCCTCACCAAAAAGAAATAGTGTATACCCCATCTGCAACCCCCCTCAGCTGGAGCTGGGGCTGATTCTGGTGCTGTCCATGGAAAAGCAGTCCTGGTCACGTTGAGCATTACTTCTCTTACTAACATGGGTGCAACAGGTTCTTTGTGTGGGAGCTCACAGTCTTATTTTACGTTTAGATGCGTAAGAAGGGTTCCGTTCGAGGCACTTTGGCTGCTGACGTCTAGAGGAGTTCTCTGTAGGTTCTGAGGCAAATCAAGCTGTGTAAGTCACCTGCTGGATGGAAAGGGAGAAAAATGAGTAATGTTCTGACGGATGGGAGTTACTGGCAGAAATCACCCAAACGCACACGTATCCGGATAACGCTTCCGGGCCTGGCCTCCCTCCTGTGTGATAACCGTGTGGTGATAACAGCTGGGGGTGACCCTTGGTGTCCAGGGTGCCTCAGGGATGGGCACTGTGCGAGGCTGGGCCAGTGCTCCGTGCGGTGGCAGGATCCTGTGGCGCTGGCCACGTAACCTGGTTCTTTGTGCTTATCTAGTGCAGAAAACCAAAGTGCTGACCTGTTCATCACTGAGCTCTGAAGCCTGCAGGAAGCTTTTGGGGCACAAATCAGAAAAGCCACGAGCATCGTTTGCTACGTGCTCAGTAGCAAAGTGATATGTGGGCTTAGTCCACTTCACTTAGGGCAGCTGTGGCCTGTCATCTTCAAAGCATGGCAAAGTTTGGAAATAGAATTCCACACAGATAGCTACAAATAGTAAATTGTGTTAAAACTGTTCCTGCGGGACGTGGGTTGTCCTGGAGCTGCACAGGAGCAGCTTTGAGCCCTTGTGCCAGGACTCCAGCGCTGGTGTGTCCCGCTGTGGCTGTTTTAATGCTGCAGGCGGATCCCCAGCCAAAGCAGTTTTAAAGTCCTCAGAGGCTGGAGCTGCTGCCACCTGAGAGGGCAGTGCCCAAATTGGGGTTCCCTGCCAAGTCCTGCATTGCTTTGGTGTGATGTGCTCAGCCCTGGTGATGTTTTGACCGCCCTGCCCTATTTTCCTTGGAGTTTAATGATCCTGCCTCTTTGGAAGTTGCTGTTGGGGGGAACTGTTGGTGCTTAACGGTGTGTTTTCTTTCTCTGCAGTTACGTAATCAAGGCCAAGTCAGAGGAACAAGTGCTGCCAATGATGAATGATGATGGATTTAACCGTCACATGCAGTGTTGATATACAGATGTGTGTGTGGATGCATGATTATTTGTATATAATTATATATACGCACATGCATACGGAAGGGGTTGTTACAGTGTCTCCAGGGTACTATACCTGTATCCTCAGCAAAGATTCAAAGGAAACTGCTTTCATTATGTATACCCGAAGCAAATAAAAATCAACTGAGTAGTGTCATTTAAAGGATGAACTATGCTAACTGGTATGTTTCATGAATGTCAATACTGGACCAATTTATTCCCTACTTGGGGTTTTTTTTTTCCTGTCTTTTGTCCCTCTGCTATAACTTGCCCATATCTCATTGTAAAGAAAGAGATTCAAATAAGTTAATTTCAGTTTTGTGTCTTCCCTATGTGATTATTTTTGGAATAGGAACAATGAATGTATTTATAGCTATTTATTTCTGGATAGTCATTATCCTATAGTCACATCAGAAAAAAATTTCTATTAGTGGAAATTGGAAGATTTTTACTGTTGAATAAGTTTTACCCAAACTTTTCCCATTCACTGATTTAAAGGAAAAAAAATCATGTTTTATTGGACTTTTGTACATGGAAATGCTAATTAATGGTTTTTCTTCATTAAAATTGGCAAATTAAGGACAAATGGCTTGTGATTTATAAAGTGATTGCAACCTGAAATTCTCCAAGAGCTGGCTTCTCAGCCAAAAACACTGACAATAGTGTAGAATGTTCCGTGCAGTGAAGGAGAGGGGTGACAGCCCTTCCCTGCGGTCACTGTTCCGGAGTCGCTGTTCTCCAGCATTCCACTTCAGAAGCTATGCAAATGGTCTTGATTTCACACACGTTGCACAATGGGATACAGTTGTGATTTATGCTCTTTTCATGTTGAAAATCCACTTTAAAAGAGATGTATACTTTCAGATACGATGAAAGTTTAAACTGTAGCGTCTGACATATTCCTCTGATGTTTGTTAGAGGTAGACAAGCAAAAGAGGAGGTGGTGTCATAGAGACCTCCTGTAGATAACTCTCAAGTAGGGAAAATGTCTTGAGCATTTTTTAAGGAGATATTCAGAGCATATCATAGATACATTATCAAAATGTTCGCTTGATCAGAAACAGATTGTTTTAAAGAGTTGGATAAAGCTCTGTTAATGCCTCGTTTCCTCCAGCATCCCCGCAAACCTCGGTGGGCTGAGCCTTGCTTAAGCCTCACCTTCGTAACCCCACATCCATCCAATTATTTTGGAGTCATTTGGACCTACTTGGCTTTATCAAAGGAGTGATCTGATTTCCAGAATGGGCAGTGATGGGATTTTCCTCAACTTCCTGCTGGGGCCTCTCCCTGTCACTGCCCCCTCCTACCCCTCTGCAGAACTGACTGTTTCTCCTTTCTGGGTTAGCAGTGAGATGGTTGGTTGTCCCCCTGCAGGGGGGTGGGTCTGTAAGTGCACAGACACGGGCACACACACATGTGGTTTTAGAGGCGCAGTGGCACCGGGGCTCGGTTCAGCTCAGTGCTGCAGCTCGAGTCCCGCTGCCCTTAACGTGTGTCCTGGCTCCGGCTGAGGGATGGGACCCTGCGGCTGCTGCGGGCTGGAGCCAGTTGGGAAAACCTTGGAGGATCTTGTAGTGAATGTAACGTGTTCACATGACTTTGGCAGCCTCGGGTGTGACCCACAGTGAACCAGCCAATGACTTTAATTAAATAAATCTGATCATGAAGTGCTCTGTCTCTTGTCTTAGGCATTAGTGTCCGCAGGCGGCTGATGAGCCGAGTTCAGTGCTGTGGAGCTGTACGAGGAGGTTGGAGGTGCTGCAGGGATGCGCTCGGTGCCTGGGAGCTCAGCCCTGTGTGTGAATTCTGGCAGCCCCACGGCTCGTGCAGGAGTTCGTGTTCCCGCCTTCCCCAGCTGCCTCACTGGTGAGGTGTCTCCTGGCAAGCTCCGTGGCCTCCAGATGAGGAGCAGGAGCTCAGTGACGCTGGTTAAAAAGTCATTGTCCCATGGGATGAGGAATCCAGAAAAGGGCTGTGGGCAGCTGAGCTGCTGAAGCTGATTTCAGAAAGCTTGTGTGGCTTCTGAAAGGCTTTTTCATAGTCACGCTCAGGTAGTGCAGGGTCCTCTTGCTCCCTGCTCAGCCCCCAGAAGTGCCACAGGACCTGCAGAGTAGAACAAGAAGAGACTTTGTGCTCAGTACTGGACAAAATCTCCTCCTGTTGGAAGCTGGGTCTGGCCTCCCCTCCTGGCTCCAACGTTCTTACAGTGGAGGATCCCAGTAATGACCTCGTCCTTATTTCAAGAATTTAAAAATAATCGAACTGCTGCAATGAGGAGTTGGGGATCAGAATCGTGGCAGGAAAACCCCTCTGTTCAGGCACAAAACTGACCAGTTACAGAAAGGCCTGAGAGCAGTGGGTGCATTTCACAAGACGTTTTTGCACAGGTGATTCCCGGTGCTGCTTTAGTCCAGAGGTACCACAGAGACGCAGCATTTCTCTGCACAGCAGCGTGTGGGGCAGAGGGTCCGGCACTGGGGCTCTGTCTGAGCAGGAAGCGGGCTGGGACCTCGGCTGGAGCTGGCTCTGGGGAAGAGCAGCATCAGAAGCAGCTCAGAACTGGCGAGCTGGTTTTCCGCTGCCAGCAGAAGGATGCCCAGTTTACCCTAACAAACGCCAAAGGGCTGCGTGTGGAGCAGGGGTGTGTTTAGCACCGTCCTTGGGGCAGCTCTGGCAGGTCTGAGCTCAGGGACACCCCAACCATTGCCTTCGGGGCACCTGGCTCGGGCAGACACGCGGCGATGGGCAGCGCTGTTCACACGGGTTCTCTCTCAGTGCAAGGCTCGGGGCATGGAAGAGCCACGTCCTCGGGTGTCTGAACAGGGTGCACAGAGCCACTGCTCACGCTTGGCTTGTGTGCGTCCTCCAGGCTGAATGGGAAGAGTCCCTGGGCTGATGCTGCCCGGTGAGGTCGCTTCTCCTGTGGGCAGGTTTCTGCCTGTGAAGGCTGGGAAATAGCCTGCTATAAACCGAAACTTGTGAGGCTCCTTTTGGTAAACACAAAATTGAATTCTTCTTACTACACAGCTTGTTTAGCTTCCAGATGGCAAACCAACATGAAGTAATGGAAGTGCAGCGTCATTTTGTTATAATGGATATGTAAACGTGATATTTATTCACTGCAATAGACTGCTGTGAACCATATTCCAGCAGTAACCTTTTAAATCCATCACTTGGCTGCACATAAGTGTGGTCTAAAAGGGACTTGTGAGCCCTTTTCTTTCTTTGTCTATTCACCTGCTGGTGTTAAAGGACCTCTCTTCCATCTCCTGAACCAAGAACAGAGTCTTTAAGCAACTGTAAATGCTTTTAAAACTGACCCTTAACCTTGTGTTAATTTTGGCTACAAGGAAAAAATGGAAACGTGTCAAAAGGACTAAAAATAACCCCACAAGGTGCCTATTTAGAGCAGCTCCACATGTTTGTTTCTCTAAGGACACCAGACCACACTAAAAAGTATAAACACATCTGAGATACACACAACACACAAGGGAGAGGGTAGGAGGTTTCTGTGTGTGGGCACGTGCCAGCGTGGAAGCCTGAGCACAGGGAATGCTGGAATTGCAGAGGGATGTGGCCTGGCTGCTGTGTTTTCCTGCAGTGGTGGAAATCTCTGCAGTGACTTAACAAGGATTATTTAACCAGCTGCCAAAATGCAATTGTTCTGGCTGGACCCTCCTGGGCCGTGTGAAACCCTCATGACAAGGAGGGGAAAGGAGCTGTGAAGGGTTTTGTGTTGTGTTTCCACAGCACTTCCGAAAACTGACATGAATTCTGTTTTGTTGTGCTTACACTGCCGCTCCACGGGCAGATCCTGCTCCGGAGCAGCAAACAAACCCTGCCCCTGTCCCGCAGAGGGGACTCAGCAGCTTCTCCAGAGAGCTCTGTGAGGTTCCCTTCACTGCTGGGGACCGCACTGAACTGTTTGTGTCCCATTTTGGTGGCAGCTTCAGCGAACAAGCTGGAGGAAACCAGGAGCTGTTGGGTTTGATGCTGGGGCCGAACAGGTCTGGGCTGTGCTGAGAGGGCGCTGGGCCCGGGTTGGCACTTGGGACAGTGCCTGGGGATGGAGGTATTTGAAACCTGGCCTGTGCTCAGTAAAGCACAGGGGGATCAGCAGAGGGGAATGAGGTGAAGGTCCTGCCGGCAGCAGCCAGCCCTGCTCCTGCCCTGGCGGATGGCGTCGCTCTGACCTGTCCCCTGGCACAGGCAGCACCTCAGCGAAAGCAGAGGATTGATGCTGCTCCTTTCACTCAAAACCTTCACGTTTGCAGCACGTGAACTTGTGACCGGCAGCAGGATGGCACCGACATGCTGCAGGACGGTCACAGCGTGTCCAACAGGCAGATAAACCTGTGTCGGGTCTGGTGGTGATGGTGGTGATGTTCGTCTCTTTGCTCTGCACCCCTTGAAGCCCAGAGCTGCCGCACAGTGTTGCCTTGAGGCCTTATGGCTGCTTTGTTTTAAACCGTGCCCGACAGATAGATTTTCACATTGTGACCTCTCCTCAGAGAGCTGGACTAAGCAAGTGCTTCACTTTAAATATTGAAATAGCAGGACTACGTGTGTCAGGAGGAATAAATAGCTTTGTGACTTATATGAAACTGCAACCCACTTGCCACAGCGCTTGGCTCTGTGGGCACTGCTGTGACACACACCAGCTCCCTGGGCTCTCCTGGGCCGAGGCGGCGGGAGGGGAGGAGCAGGTCTTGCTCAGGGGTGACCAAGACAGGACACTGGATGCTGACTAAAGACTGACTAAACCCCTGACTAAAGGGGGTCTGTGGGTCCCCCTTGACGGGGAGGAGGTGCCTGGGGCTGGGCGGGGAGGTCCCTGTGGGGCTGCAGCCCCAGGGGCACTGGTCTGTGCTGGGCAGGTTGGCAGGAGAACAGGCTCCTGCAGAACGAGCAGCTGCAGAGGATCCATGGATGTAAAGCCTTGTTTGTGTCGGGAGGCGTGAGGAGAGCTCCATCATCTGCCACATGAACCGGTGCCATGGTCTGCCGGCACACACGGACACTGCAGCCACTGACACCCAGAGGATGTTGGAGCAATCCAGACCAGTCTGGAGTGACACTGATCACCATGTGCTAGAGCTGATGCTGTCGTCTTCACTTGGCAGTTGTGATTTCAGAGAAAGGCTGGTGCATGGGACAGGTTTGTGCACCGAGTGGGTGCGTGGTGCCCGGGGCTGCCAGCCAGGCTCCATCCACCACGAGCACTAGGAACGGCTCTTTAGCGGGTGCCAGACTCCTCTGGCCGCGGTTCCTTTTGCTCTCTGTCACCATTTAACTGATTTCAGCACCTTCTGTTCCAGCCGGTTCCCAGCGTCTCTCTCCTCTTTTTGCTTCCCCTCTGACCAGACCCTAAAAGCCTCACTTTGTGTGTCCAGGCCACCCCGGACTCTGCAGGGCGCTGGGCTGTGGCTGGGGAGGGGCAGCACAGACCCCGCAGCTTTGCCATGCAAGGGGGCCAGGGCCAGCCCTGGCGGATTCTCCCCCCTGCACCTCCCGCTCTTGGCCGCTCTCACTGTATGTTCGGGGGAGAGGAGGAGCTTGTGGTGCTCTGTGGTTGAACAGTTGACA